ACAAGATTTAAATTCAGGTTTTGTCAATAATTTAATCATCTTAATCACCACAATATACATTTTAATAACATGAAAAAAGTGTTGTTCCTTAGTACAAAAAGCATGAACTTTGCAGAAGAGGAATGGAAAAAAAATATATGGTATAGTTTTCATGAAGTGCAGTCACTTTAGAGAATGATCCTTTAAGATTATATCCCCTGTAAATATTCTGGGTTAGAACGTAATTTTCTTTCATGCTCTTAATTAACAAAATTTAAAAATTAGCAGCTTAGTGCCAATCCCCCTAATTTTCGTTCTGTTTGCACTGCTTGCTCTTCTGACCTCTATTAGTAGTAAGAACTTTTCCACACATCTCCAATCTTAAATGCTGAAAGGAGTCAGGTCAACCGGAATCAGAAGCTGGAAGAGGCACCTTATACACCTGCATCCGGTCCTGTGGCAAGAGCCTTCAGGGACGAACTGTGGGATGTAACTCCAGGATGCCTGGGGGCAGCGCTGCCTACAGCAGAAGCCGCCTGCAAGGGATAAACCTGTGTTCTTCCTCATTCAGTTTTATCCAGCAAAAAGCCATCAAAATTTTTTTTTTAATGTTTTTTAAACTTGTTTTCTTTAAGTAAATATGTAGGTTGCATAACTTTCTGTATATTTTTAAAATATATCAGCAGTCTTCTATAGGTGTATTTTACTGCATTTATAGTTTGTGGACTAAGACAAATGTGAACATTTTCAAGTTCAAAAATGAACATAAAACATACTAATTTTGTAGACACAAAAGAACACGTCAAAAGTGAGGTGTGCAAGAAGAAACACCCTAGAGTCTGGAATGAGACAGACCACGGGGCAAAATCCAGGGCTCCCGCTGGAGGCACCACCAGCGTCAGCCCCCAACGGTATGAACCTCTCGGTTCATCTACACAGGGAAGAATAAATGCAGTAACCTAGGGCAAGCGCCTGGCACAGGGTGAGCACAAAGGTGCTTATTAAACCATAGGTCAATTTTCTTCGGTAATATTTACAGAGAAAATGACATGGAATCTGCTCAGGCACAGCATCACTCTTTACCAAAACTCCATCCCAGCCCCCAGGGCAGGAGGGCAGAAACACAAACACATCGAAGCTTTTAAAAACCTGCTGAATATGCCGCCAGGCGCGGTGGCTCACACCTGTAATCCCAGCACTTTGGGAGGCCGAGGCAGGCGGATCATGAGGTCAGAAGATCAAGACCATCCTGGCTCTACTAAAAATACAAAAAATTAGCCCGACAGTGGCGGGCGCCTGTAGTCCCACCTACTCGGGAGGCTGAGGCAGGAGAATGGGGCGAACCCGGGAGGCGGAGATGGCAGTGAGCAGAGATGGCACCACTGCACTCCAGCCCGGGCGACAGAGCAAGACTCTGTCACCAAAAAAAAAAAAAAAACCCTGCAGAAATAATCAAATCATTATCCATCGTGTAGAATGGAAGTATTTATACACAGGAGTATGTGAGTCAGCTTCTGAGAGGTCTACAACCAAAGAGTGCAAGAGCAGGCAGACTGTGGCAGCGCCGCACTCACTCAAACAGAAAGGCCTATGGTTAGCAGAGGCTGTTTCCACCTTGGTTCACTAAATGCACATGTAAGTTTCACGCTTACAAAACAGTATCTTCATTCATATATGATTTTGCTCCACTTGGTATGTCTAGAGCCAGGACACCTCCAAGGCTAATTGGGGGCACTGGTAATACTGACACAGGACACAAATTATGCAAGGCATAAATTAGGGCACACAGTCACCCCACTGAGTGCACACGCTGGCACTTCAAATAAGATAAATAAACCATCACTCCTTCAGCAACTGGATAGCACAGACAGAGCAATGACTTCAAAAAGGAGGAAATGGAAATAGAACATAGACAGCTTTGGAACAGAAGTGACACATCACACCCTGGTCTGTATCTGCCATCTACTAGTCAGGGCAACTTGGTCAAATCAATTAAACTTGCTAAGGTTCAATTTTCACATCTGCACAATGGGGACAATTAATGCTTGCCCTGATCATTTTAGAGGGCTGCTATGATAATCAATAAGGAGATAAAAGAAGAGGCTCTAAAGTCCAGTACTATAAACAGCAGTACCCAACCTTTTTGGCACCAGGGACTGGTTTTGTGGAAGACAATTTTTCCACGGACCAGTGTGGGATAGGGGGGCAGGGTGGTTCTGGGATAAAACTGTTCCCACCTCAGATAATTAGACAGACATTAGATTCTCATAAGAAGCACGCAACCTAGATCCCCCGAATGCACGGTTCACAACAGGGTTCACGTTCCTATGAAACTAACGCCATCACTGATCTGACAGGAGGCAGAGCTCGGGCGGTCACGCCTGCTCACCCTCCCCTCACCTCCTGCTGTGCGGCTCAGTTCCTAACAGGCCACGAACCAGTACCGGTCCACAGCTCAGGAGCTGGGACCCCTGCTCTAACACATAATATGATACTACTATAGTGATGATCAATCCACCTCCTGGAATAAAGTATCTACATAACGGTTTATTTCGTTATCTTGTATTGATTTTGTGTGTGTGTCTTGCTTCATGTCTACCAAGTTAACTAGGACTTATCAGTGACACTTGCATAAGATGATGATATAAACCGAGATACGATCAAACACTCCCTTCGAGAAAGGGGACAGGGACTCTAAAATCACAGCTGGCTGCTGAGGGGATGGCCCATCAGTCCCACCTGCCTCAAGAAAGAGCCAGCTCACTTCTCTCTGCCTTTGCAATGAAGGAGAATGGTGGCTGGTCATCGAGCAACTCACTAGACTGGCAAACAGAATAGAAAACAGTCCTAGCCTGGGGAGCAGCATCTTTATACGCATTCTCTCCCCATCTTCACAATCTGGAGGTAATCACTACTCCACTCTACGCAGGACGAAACTTGTGGCCGACAGAAGATAACCTGTGCAAGATGACGTGACCATTAAAGGAGAAGCCCAAACTGGAACCCTGGGCTGCCTTGCTTCAAAGCTCAAAGTGTGACTCCTACTCAGCAGCCATGCTGCCACAGCACACTCCTATGCACTAGGCACGCTCCTCCCCACCAACCACGCTCCTCCCCACCAGCCACACTGCCACACCACAGGCCTACTCACCCACCACGTTCTCACCCACCAGCCACGCTCCTCCCCACCAGCCACACTGCCACACCACAGGCCTACTCACCCACCAC